ATTATAGTGAAACGGTGGAATTATAAAGGAAACACTTGTGTAACAAGAATTAATGTAACTAATCTGGAATGATTTGGTGGCGTAGTTATTTCAGACACCACTTACGGGAGGTCCTTGGAGCGTTTACTTGGGATCTTCACGGGATATGTGCCGAAATCGCGTTTTGCGATTAGTAATCGAGGTCGGGCGATTTAAAACGACTTTATAGCTCTCTCGCACGAACAATAAAATTATTATTTTCCCGGCGTGCCGTGATTAATCTGACTTTCTTTAACAGATGATTAATGACACCACTTAAGAATTATTAATTATCTTACTGCACCAGCAATAAATTACTGTTATTCCGTTCAGTTTGTCTAATTGGGTCCGAAAAACTATCGAAGAAGTTCGTACGCGCATTGGCTTTTGAATCGAAAAAGCGGCGTCTTAATCCCTCGGCCAATTGATTTTTTCCCGGTGAAAATACCTCGGCGGCTATTTGCTCGACTCGTTTTAGATTTTTAAAACGAGTCACGATAAAATCAACCATCTGGCTGATGCATTAAACTGTACTACAATGTATGCGTTTTGACGGATACCTGGCTTTTGAACAGGTTTCTCGGATGCAAACATCCCACATGTTTCATTTCGAGGAGGAAAGCACTCCGAAATTTCTCAATCCGCGTACGGCCGTTCTAAATTACTTGAACCTTGTTCAATAAGTTAGCTATAACGAGTTCCTGAAACGGCAGTGGCAAGTAAATAAATGCAACTGCTTCCATAAAACAGCTTGGTAAAATACGGCCTCTCACTAACCTAGTTGCAGCTATTTACATAATTATTATTGCCGACTAACATTGTGATTAGATTATTGATTGCCTTATTAGATCCGCATTCCGTCGACACTGTCTTTCTCCCGTCGGAACGAGAAAAACGCCACAGGAGGAAAGTTTTTTAATTAGGAGGGGGATTATCGACAATCGGCAATATTGGACGATGAGAGTGCAACAAGAGACGCCGACAGATGGGCACGGGCCAATCGGTCTGATCCGATTATGGAACCGATCAAGTGGACTAAACACCGGCACATGCATGCCATCTGATGCCGATGAACGGGTGGTCCCGCAGCCACCGAAGACGATAGGGTTACAAGGGGTCTCGTCATTAATTTAAACCCCAACAACAACAATCTTGTTGTTGCCGACCCAGAATAATTAAGTAACGCCTTTTTATCATCAACCATATACCTACTTGCGTATTTGTTCAATCAAACTTAATGCGAAATGAGGCAATCTTTCTAAAGCAAATAATTCCTTTCAATACAACAATGTCATCATTTTTGAAAGTTCAGTGCTTTCGTTTTAAGACATCCGTGTAATTGAATTATGAATATACAGTGACTTAATTTCAATTGTATCTTTCTCCCCCTCGGGCTGCGCAATGTAAAGACTGACAGACTTGTGTAATTTCGTGAAATATTACTGCGGAATTTAGGACAAGTCTTGAAAAAATGTAACGTAATTAGATTTCATGCGACTTTTATTGAAGCACGGGCGGGGTTATGTTGTTTTTCGTGTGCATTAAAGAAAGATTGTAGGAATGTGATGCAACATTGGAAATTTTTGATGCACTGACGGACCCGTGAGAGTTAAAAATAATCGATGTAGCAAGAAACTGTTTATTCAGATTTACAGCTTTGACACAGCTTGTACACACAAATGAATTAATGTTAAATAAACAGCAAATGTCTAATTAGCAAAATCTTAAACTTGCAGCAAACAAAATATGTCAGTACTGTGACATTAACACGATACAACGAAATCAAATTTATGTAGAAGCTCCCTTATTTCTAAAGCACAACACATACAGCATGCAAAGAGACATTTCTCAATATAGGTAGTCATTTTTAATTAACAATCTTTTGAGATTACGTCATAAAAACATCAAACGCTTATATAAAATTACAACATTATTTACGATGATATAAATGGAATCTGTTCACAGATTGATTTTTCAACAAAGATTTACACAATAATTACCTGAAACGACGCCTTCAACTTTCTGAAAAGGACGAATAAATAGCTTTTAGTTAATGTCCTGCAATCCTTAAAACAAACGTTAGTGACTTATCGAAACTTTAAAAAAGGTTCACAAATGATAGAGTAATGAAGATTACCTCTCAAGTAAATCTCCAACAGACGACGTCAAAGAAAAATACGAAAAATTTTACTGAAAGTATAAATGAAAGAAATGATAGAAAAGTAATCATAAGGCGTGAGTGAAACTCTCAGCTGTTGGTTAATTTATTACGATAATAATTATTCTTAGCTTACTTATCCGCTGGGCTTTTTTGAGAGATATCTTGTAGTAATTACTAACGCTTAATCACGTCCTAGCAAAAACTGATCTTGCAAACTTTACAACGTAACACTTAGTTTCAAAGTTGATTTCAATTATGGTTGATTTGAATATGAATTTGTAACGAGTTATGTAAAATTACATCATTGTATATATATATTGAGAAACAATCTGGTTTAATAAATGAAAAAATATTAATAAACAACTGAACTGTAAGCAGTGCAAGTAAAAATAAGCAAAATATACACACAATGAAAATAGTTACTGATTGATCCAATAAAAATTTCTCGTTTTAGACAAAAAATTTTGTGTTTGGGGTTGGGTACGTCACAATGATTCAAAATCTGTTAGTTTATCATCACATTTATATTCCCCGAGCGAGTAAGTGCTTCCAAAAAGTATTTTATGCCATTAATCGCTAAATTTATGGTCGAAAACGAGTCGAAGCAATTGGTGGTGTAACTATTAAACTTAAACCATCTTATATTAAGCTCCCTACACTTCGTAACACGAATTAAGTACTTTAAACCCCCTGATGGTGTTGCAAGTAGTTCCAGGGAAATAGAGAAAAACTACCTCGGGAAAGTCTCATCTATTAGAAGAGAGCTAGATAAATCTACCCCATTTAGTTTTTTCGTTTATTTTCGTTCGAGTTTTTTTAAAGTCGGAGAACAAGAACGGGAATTGTAGAAAACTTCATTAAAATAATAACGGCGAGACACAAAACCCCATTTCCGCTTTTTGCAAAACAAATTGAATCCATTTATCCATCCGTCAACACAGTTTAAAACTGTTGTTCCCCGCATTATCCGAAGTCAGAAATTCATCCGCTTTTCCTTGTAACATAACACACAATAACCCTCGCCACAATTACTCGTGTTAAACCGTTCGCACAAAAGCACACGAACACGCAACAAACCAATCGTCAAGCGATTAATTTATTAAACAACAACAAACAAAAGAGGTTAACGGTTCCGTCGCGTTGAAAGAACTTTAACTTGAGAATTATTCAATACGACATATTTATGCAAATGTATTTTTTAAGCATCTGTTGTGAGCTCACGGAACGTTTTACCTGGATTTCAGTAAAATCCGGCCTAAAACTTCTCTCTTATAATACGACTTAATCACGTCGTGCCGTTAAACAACAAATTTCTGCTAAATTAAAATCGGTCTGACGTATTTACGAGGGCACTAATTCACAGGCAAGGCCTGATAATCCGTGGGGAAGAAACGAAATTTAATTTATGATAATTGCCTCGTGTTGAACTGTGTAAGGTGTATAATTACAGGTAGATCCTAGTTGTAAATAAGCGAGGATCAGATAACAGAGGGAAAAATAAACACGGGGATGACCCGGAGCCGATTTGCATTTTCTGGCCAGGAATTGAATTTTATCGGTATTAATTTATAGCCGGGTCGGATGACAAATTCGGAATGTTTCGGATTTTATGGCGGTTTAATTCTTCGACTTCTGGGACCGGATTTTTCGGCGTTACCGTTAAATCCGGGGAGAGTTCGGGCGTTATTTACCTTCGGAGCAAGTTGTGTACAAACAACTGTTTCCATATTTACTTCATTTAAATGCAAACATGGAGCTTTTGCGGCTTTGCAAATAGTTCCCGGAGCATAATGCGTCCCTACCCGGCGACAATTACTCCGGAGTTTAATAAGGTCTTTACGGCCTTTAATCACAACAATTGTTTTGTTCGCTAAACATCAGCGATTCGTTCGGAATAAATCATAATTTCGTGACGCAATTTATTGTCCAATTATACAATAATTTCGTGTTGCAACGCGACTTATCGTCGTCTATTAATTTCGTCCGGGAGCGGTTTCGCAACACCCCTGCAGCTCTGGGAAAATTCCACCACTCTTCAATTTAAATCACAACAATCGTCCTGCGATAAATCTCAATAAATAAACAAAAATGCATTAGGTATAAATAATCTTAATGTGGGTTTTAAATTTATTTCGAAATAATTATAATGTTGGTCTTTCCTGTTTTAAATTGGGTAACATAAATCATCTTCGCTGTGTCAGTGACCTTTTCCTCTTCAAGGTTGAGATTGTTTCAGATGCACCCTGAAACGCGCGCAACCGGAGCTTAAGCACAACCTCACGAACCGAATTTGAGCACGATCAATCCGAAATAATTGGATCGAAGCCATTAAAACCCCAATTAAAAAAATTAACCGATCTTCCCCGACGGGACGGAAGATTAAGGTACGGTTTCATTTATCCGTTGTCTTACAAGACGTCCGGCAAGCAATTAATTACGTAGATTCCTCTCAAGGCATTTGGATTTTCGCCAATCGCCAATGCGTATCGAATGTATTTTAGTTTCGCGATGTTTATAACCGCTCATTACGACTAGTGGTCGACGAAAATCGAGCCATGTTTTAAAATGATTTTCGTAATATATCGCTTGCCGGTTCTGTTATTAAACGAAACCGCTGCTTAAGGGCTTGAAAAAAATGTACCTTCCCCGACGCGACGGAAGACGTTAGCCTGAAAGCTTCCAGTATTAATTTACTTTGATGTAATTAACTGATAACCCGGTCCATCAACTCCACGAAAGCACTACTCCATCTAAACTGGCGAATCGGCGATCACGTGACGCACACACCCCCAAGAGAAAAAAAAATGACAAAAACATGTACCTTGTATAAGTACTGATCGAACATCCTGCACACATCTACATCGCTGCCGACGCAATAAGTGGCCTCCATATTCTCACAGTTACCAATAAGGGTGTTGATAGAAGCCACGATAGGCTTTAAATGTTCCAGCGTTGTGAGCGGCACAGGGTAGTCCACGTGGTGAGAGAATTTTTTCCACACAGAAAAATTTTGATCACCTGAACGAATCGAAAGCACTGAATGGGCGCGAATCACCCGAGCTCTCAATGACAAAATCCGGATTTTTCCGGGCGCGTCGTCACGTCGAGCATGGTTTCCGGAACGCGGCCGATCTCGTATGAACGCAGCTGCGGCTCGAAACCGAATAACGCGCCGCCGATGGCGACCCCTCCCCAAACCGTCCCCCCGGAGCGGGCTGCGCAAACGGCGGCCGGAATCGGACAGGCCCGCGTCGATCTAAATCTCAAAAATCCATGAAAAACGAATAAATAATATGGGGCGCACCCGCCCGCCGCCCCCCGCGGACGGCGTGGCCCAGAACGCCATTTAAGCTGCACGGGAGAGGTGTCGTCGCGAAGGCCCCCGCTGGGATGTGGGATGACAAATATGTGAGACTGAGGGAAGAAGGAGCAAGTGCATCTTGGGTATCGCGACGTGAATGGAGATTCCGGTTTCGGGTGCTGGAGCTTCCAGAGGGAGGCTGCAAGATTCTGGAAATGGATGAGGATGTAGCGAATTGATGTCGAATGTGTGGATGTCGGTTTTTATACAAGCGTATTGCTAGTGCCATTTGACGATATGGATAACAAAGATTGGTGTCGCTTCCGACAAAACGAAAGTCAATAACGTAACATTAGCGTTAATTGTCAGCTTTTAGAATGTTGTTGGTGAAGGCGTGTTCGAGCAATTACCAGCTTTCTTACTTATGGAGGGTTGACGCAGACTTTTTCAAAAACCAAACAAGGTATTGGTATTTTTAAAAGCAAAAAATCTGTGAAAAATCTACGGTGTGTGGGCAATATGTCCTCCATCGGAATATTGAAAACGGATGCAAGAAAAGTGAGAAAATTTAAAACCAAAGCACATTGTGTTTGTAATCCCGTATCTATATGACATGCTACGATTATATGCTTCACGTCGTAGAATTAGAATGACTGTGAATAATAACATAGACTACGATAAAGAATAATGCTTATTTAAAACAAATAGCACGTTTAGGGTATGTATTATAAAGCTAAAAGTTTAACTAAAATTAAGTACGTATATTGCTTTTCAAATTATTTGATTTGCATATGTTTTTATAAAAGACATGATAAAAAAACGATGCACGATACTCAGGCTGACAGTTGCATAGTATGCATAACTTCCATGCGACGTTCGGCTGATATAATTTTAGCAACAAGTGTAAACCTAAAATTTTAGAAATACTGAAATATAATAATACTTTTGGATTCCAATTCTGTTAGATCATTGATCTTCCGTTTCCGTCTGTCTGTCTGTCTGGCGTCTGTGTTCATTTTTATTATACACGTAATCTCCAAAATTACTGGATCGATTGTTGTGAAATTTTGTATGTACACAAAATTTTGTTAATCATCCCCACCAATAATTTGATGACATCATCTCAAAGAATTATAGGATAAAACGTTCCGTGGAATTGTTGGTCGTATCGTACTTTGGAACCAGCGAAAATCTGAGAACTACCGTAGTTCAACAAAATGAGTTTGTTTTTTGGTTCGGAGAACCTCAACTCCGATCCAGGTCGGGCGTTCTCTACTCCAACAACGATCCGCGGTCATATTCGCTACTTGGACACATTAACTCTGATTCGTCAAATATCTATCTGACTCTAATTACGCACACATTCAATTGATTTTAGAATAGGAAGCGAAGTACCTTAATTATTTTAATCAATGTTTATCTAAACAACATTACAAAAAAAATTACAATTTTTATGTAATTTATTGCGATTTAAATGCGAGATATGCGGTCAACTTTTATTGTAACACAGCCCATAATAATGTAGGCAGAAGAGACCTTATATGTATTTTATTTACTCGTTGTTAAGTAGGTTAGAGAAGTATTATAATATTGATATTTTTAGTTGCAAATTAATATGTATAGTTAAAAAAGTGTTCGGTTTTGGAATTTAGTTCATTATAATTTAGGTTATTTGATGATAATAGTCAGTAGTTTATACATGAGATCAAATTATTTAGTTTATTTTCTTATCTTAAATTAATTTACGATACATTGTTATTATTGTAAACTTTAACATATACAGGATTGCTAAAATGAGGGTTCAAATTTAATATTTTTGAAAAAACATTTTTTTCTGCATTCAGTGATGTAACACATCTTTCTTTATTTGCATTAAAAAATAAAAAAAAAAAAACAAAAAAAATGCAACTTCGAAAAAGTGAATTTATTTGGCCTACGAAATGCTGTCTTTACTTACCATTAGTTCTTTAGCACTTGTCGTTGATATAAATATTAAATAAAATTTAATGGTAATAGTAAAAACAACACATTTAACTACAATAAAACAAAAAAAAAATCCAAACTGTATTATTTTAATTTTTTTACCCTTTAGTGCAAATAAATAAAGACATGTGTTATATTACTGAATGCAGAAAAAAATGTTTTTTTTTTTAATATTAAATTTGACTCCTCGCACTATAAAAAAAACAAGTTGGCGTTGTACCTTCAAAACAAATGTTGAAGGAAATTTAATATTTTAGAGAACAGAGTTCAAATATTTTTCCTTGTGTATCAAATTTCTCGAAATATTTGCTGTATTCATACTTTTTAGCAACTCCGTATGTATTGTTCTATTACTGGAATGTATTTTCTGTTAAGAAATAACAAATTAAATTAAATATTAGCATTCATGGAGTTACAAAATTTGTTATATTTATATGAGACACATTTTACAAAATTTTATCTAGAAATACGGTCTTCATAAAATTGCAACAAATTTTATGCGACATAAAATTTTACCGCTATCTAACTTGTTTATTATTACACGTTTACTTCCGGACTTATTATTGAATTTCACGGAATTTAAAAGGGACAACTAAAATGTATACAAAGTCTGCAATAGATGCTCTTATGTACGTAGCTAGTACCTGCTAAAATAAGACCGATTTTGGCAAATGACATATCCTCTAAAAAAAGAGAGGGTGGGTGGGAGGTTCTAGCAATTGCTAAGATAAGACTGATTTTAGCAAATGACGTATTCTCTATAAGAAATCTAATTAAATGATTATAAAAAAAGACACTAGAGGCTCTCCAAAGCACTTTGAAATTCTTTCAACATTGTCTGAATTTTTCAAAAAAAAGAACAAAAAAAAACAGAGTCCCAAGATTAACTCAAAAACAGGTCAGGTCAGAATTTTTCAAAAATAGAACACCAAAGTCCCCCAAAATTGTTTTAAATAATTTACAAAAAAATCTCCATGGGCTCCCAAAATAATAGACCATGGGGACCCAAGAGTCTCCCGAATTAAAAAAAAAATACTGCGGCACTCAAGACTTTTTTCAAATTCGTAAAAAATAAAACACTAAAAGCTCAAAACATTTTTTCAAGTTCATCCACCAACAAAACACTAGATTTTTTTAAATTTATAAGAAAATGAAACACCAGGGGACCTAAAATTAACTGGGAACATTTTAAATGTAGTGTTTTGAAAACTTTGACAATTTTTGATACGTCAAACATTTTGAATTGCTTACTCGATTTTTGCTGATTTGTACCTTCGCTTTATAGCAGGCAAACATTGTTATCAATTGGAATTTTATCAAATTATTACAAAAACAACACAACCATATCTTTGTACATTTTAAGTAAAATGGTAATTAAACATGGTCATGGACGAGAGAAATATGATCTAAACGTAGCAAAAGAACCAATTTTAAAATCATTATAACTCCACCAAAATGTGAGAAGGAATTTTTCACCAGTTGATTGTTAATAATCCGCCATTTTCCAGACACCCAGTATACACAAAAACTTGTTAAAGAGAGCTTTTAGTAAGTAAATATTGTGTATGAAATGTAAACATGAAAAACAATATTTTTATGGCATTCAGGAATATTCCGTGTTGCAAATTTAAAACGAAAATCACATCCCACTCTTTATTAGTCTATATAAAATGTATTGATTTGATTCCACGCTTCGACGTATTAATTTCTTGTAATTTAAACCAAACGTTATTTAAATCATTGACGCATGGGTTACAACAGCAATCGGTTGAAATACTGCGTTTCGTTACCAGACAAACCCAAAACACAATCTTTCCATTCTTCTATAACGAAAAGCAATGATCTCTGTAAAATGCACACCTACAAATCAGTATAAATTAAAATAAATGAAAAATTTAATTACGTTTGTAGTGCTACCACAGCTGTCAATATCCCGTCGTCAACTATCCCATAAATTTTGATTCCTCTTCGACATTTCAAAATGCATCCTCATAAAAAATTGAAAGGTAATTCATGTAATTTGATTTACAGCGAGCGTCGATGAAAAAGTTGGAATAAAATTTTATGGAAATATTTGCAGCTTGTAAAAAACGGTTTCCAATTATATTTTTTTTCACATTTATTACAAATTCATCGAACTGTGAATTTTAGATAAATATTTACTCTATTAAAAATTTTCTATATTAAGTAAAAATTAAAATTCTATAGCACAAATGCAAATTTCGTACGAAACACCCCCTGCAATCGAAGTAAGAGAATTAATTGATAATAACACCCCCATTTAGAGGGATGCTGCTACAAAAATGATTAAGTGCGTCATTACTACCTCCCAAGAGCAGCATTTAATAAGCAATTCCTAAACCCGACCGTTTAAAAATATCGGCTACAAAATTACGACATTTAAAACACGCGATAATTGTTTCCCATAAAGGAAGTTTTCAAGACTACCGGTGTGTAAAAATACTTTGCACGCAACGAAGCTCATTAAAAATAATTCAATAAGGACAAAACGGGTGCGAACGTTCAAACACTTTGATCCTGGAAAAAGTTTTGATTGCATTGGAGTTTTCGATAACTATTCGGGAGAAAGAGAAGTTTAAAATCTTCGATTGGAACGAGGGTGGTTCGATGATAAAAAAAGGGATCGCGGTCTTGTGTAAAACATTAAATCGAAAGTTGGAGGAAAAAGTAAATGTGGGTGCAGGTATAACAATATTTTATTTCATTAACATAACATGAATAATGGAAGCATGGCCTGAATGACAGCGGTTATCAATTATCTTTTAATGAGTGGCGATGCGTAAAATATCGTGGGGAGACAGGAAGTTTTTAAAAAATCAGTTAAATTCGCCTGGCACTGACAGCTAGTTCTATTACTTGCAGAAAA